AAAAACGCTGGGAGATGTTCCCAACGTTAAACTTTCAACGATCAAGTAAGTAAATATTGTGATATGAAAAGTTGTCTATAGGGAAAACTTTTGGAATGAGGTACACGACTTCAGAGTACAATTTCTCAATCGGAAATTATTTTTCTGGCCTGTTTAATTTCTCCCCAACTGTCTCCCAATTCCCATCATCACCTCCATAGTTGATTTCATAAATGACCACAACACCAACTACGAACAGTAAGAGAGAAATCTATTAGCCGTTTTTGTGCATCACCACAAGCTTGACAAACTAAATAAGCGATTTACAAAAATTATGAAGGAAACATCAACACTGAGAGGTGACCAGTCAATCATATGCCCTTCCTCCAGTTAGGAACTTAATAATCCACATTGAAATTCTCAATGGGAAGAGTTGGATAGTCTTACACATCCACAACGCGTCCATATAAAATTGCTTGTCTTCTTGAATAACTTAAATCAAAATCCTTGTCATACTATAAGCATCCTAAATCTTCATTCTTTCAATCAATTGTTTATTAATAGATAAATACATATGGAACACCAAGCACAAACTCTCTGCAGTTCAAGTGACAAGTGACAGACAAACTTAATTATATATGCAAGATAGATTCCTAACCATAACTAGAAAAACGAGGTTTGGTGATAATTAATTCGCAGTATCAAATGATTTGTGGACATCTACCAAATCAGCTACTAGTAAGCAAATTGCATCTAGATTGTTAATACAAAACAAGACTATGTCCAATTTAACAAAACAAGTCCACAAAACTGGTGAGTACATAATATCCTCACATGAATAAAACACCTCCATAATAGTTGATAAATACATGCAAAAACCAAATATTGTTGTCTTTGTGATCAAATCAAGTAAAGAAATAATCATATCTCCTCTCCCATCAAATCGTAAACTCATCAACCTAATCATTAAATAACAACTCAATAATTGATTGAAGAAAATATAAGTGAACAAATAAATGCAACTGACCAGCAACATCCAAATTCAACCTACCATGGTGAGAAATGATTCGACCTTCTCGTTCAATCCATTTGAATTGTGTCTTTTGCCCATGCTCTTGCTTGCTGCGTCCTCCGAGGAAGGATGCTGATGAAAATAATTAAGAAAAGATGATTTAAGCTCAATAGAAAAGCTATCTAAAACATTATTAAAATTAACATAAAAAATATACATTATACCTCTTGAAATTGTCGCCAGAAACCCTTTCTATCTTTAACCATTGAACGGCTAGTCTTAGCAACATAATCAGTGACTTCGCGCACCATTAGCCTATTCTTGTCTATAGGACAAACTTTTGGAATGACGTACAATTTCTCCATCGGAAATTGATTTACTAACTATAGTATTTATATTATATACACAACTAATTATCTAAATTAGAGGTGTACACAAAAGAAGAAAAATAGAAAAGGCTCAAACAATATTCAATTGGTTTTGTATTTATTCACTTAATGTATTTAATTCTATTATTAAATGTTTTAACAGTACACAGTGGATCGAGCCCAAGA